AACTGAGGCCCAGGCCTGACCCAGGTCCCCTGCTTCCAGAGCCTGGGCTCGTCCTAAAGACACACAACCTTGCAGAGGGAAGAGGTGAAGAGAAGGCCCAGGGCAGGAAAGGACCAGAAGCTGGCATCTGGCCCCCAGTGGGTCAGGTCACGGGCAGAGGGTAGGGGACAGGAGCCCACAAGTGTGAGGTCTCTGACACGAGGGAATCAGTGCAGGCGGGGAGCCCCCAGCCACAGCAGGAGAGGAGTTCCCCTCCTTAGTCGGGCCCCTCCATCAGCGCAGCCCCAGTTCGAGGCGAGGTGTCCACTCCACCTGTTGCCCGAGCAGGAACTTGGAAGTCACTGTTGGCCCCTCCCTCTCCTTCACCCCCAAGTCCAGTCCGTGCCCCTCCTCAGGGTCTCCCCTTTCATTCAGTCAACAGACATTTCCCGAGCTCCTTCCATGGGCCAGGTACAAACTAGGCACGAGGGCCTCAGCCATGAACAAAACAGACACGGTCCCCACCCTTGTTGAGCTGACACTGGTGGGAGACAAGATACCTAAGTGAACACATAACACACCATCGAGGGCACAGTCAGGAAAACCGGAGGGGCACAAAGTGGTAAAAAGGGATGGTGAAGAGGCTGTTTTAATGAGGGGGTCACCTCTGAGAGGTGAGATTGAGTAGACACCTGAGTAAAGTGAGGGAGGGGCCGTGGGGCTACCTGGGGAAAGAGAGCCCCAGGTAGAGGGGACAGCAAGTGCCAAGGCCCTGAGGCAGGGAACAAGTTTGCCACATGGGAGAACAGCAAGGAGGCCGGTGTGGCTGGAGTGGAGAGAGCAAGGGAGGCGGGAGGGAGATGTGGTCAGGTGTAACGGGGGCTGGATCACACAGGGCCTGGTAGGTTCCCAAGAGGAGGACTGAGCAGGGCTGGGAGGGTTCAGAGCAGAGGCAGGACAGGCTCTGACTTGTGTTTCAACAGCATCCCTTTGGCTGAGAATGGGCTGAAGGGGAGAAAGGACGGAAGTAGGATGGCCAGCGAAGAGACTACTGCAACAGTCCAGGCAGGACGTGAAGGAGGCTGGACAGGGGTGGTGGCAGTGGAGGGGCACGGAGTGGCCCAATTCTGGATCTGCCAAGGGATCAGATGTGGGGTGTGGGAGAACAAAAGGAGTCGGAGGGAAGATGGCAGCTCCATTTTAGAGACCGGGTTCCTTGCTGTATCCCCAATGCATGGGACAGAGTTGAGCTCAATCAATAGTTACTGAAAGAGAGACAGCAAGCAAAGGAAGAAAAAGAATCCCAGTCTCGGGTTCTATCTTCAGCCCAGACTGGGTTTTTCTTTTTCAAGCCTGTCAGAAGGCGACCTCTGGTGGCGAATAGTTGGAACTGCGAGTCCTCAGGTTGAGGGCCACAAGGAATCAAGAACGGACGGTGGAACATCCCGGGCTGGATAAAATCAGAGACCATACTCCACCCCTCGCCCATTATACAGATGAAGATACTGAGGCCCACTTAGGTTTGAGCTCCGATCTCCATCTCAACAGCCGCTCCTTCTGGCCCCCGGCTATCGTTTTCCAGAGCCCACACCACATTCCTACATTGATGGAAAGCGTCAAGCTGCCGCGGCTTGCATACATTTCAAGTCTAGGCACTCCCCACATCCCCAAATTAACCCGTGTCATCTCTGCTGAGCTGGATGGGAAATCTCTACCCATCTAGGCTGGAATTCCCACCATCCTTCACTCCTGGAATCCTGCCCCAGGGCACCCGCAGAGGCCTGTCTGCAGGAATCCCTCTGCCACACGCCCCTGGAAGCTGCTCCCCGCCCAGCCCAGTTCCTCCAGCTCGGGTAAAAGGGCATGCTCCCCCGTCTGCACCTTTCGGAGGGCACCACGACTCCCCACCTTCTACTCTTGGCCTGCCTTGAGCTGTCACTGTTCTTCACACAGGACAGAGCCGAGAAGGGCAAGTCCTCTTGGTGTGCTCTGAGCAGAGCAGAGGGGCTGTCACCTCTCTTGAGCTGCGGGTAAGACCTCTATTGATGCAACACGAGATGGCATTTGATATTTCTTTTTCTTCATTTTTTTGAGTAATTTTAGGTTACACAAGTAACAGGGATATACACTCCTAGAAAAGTAAAATATTTCAGTTAAGGCTAAAGTCCTCTGATCACTCCCATCCCCTCCCCATCCCTGAGCCCTCCACGCACACACAGTTCCAAAGGTAACCACCGTTGTCAATTTGAAACTCATTCCTCCAGATTTGTTCCTTGGATGTGTATGCGGTAAACACACACACACACACAGCCCTATAGAATACGGAGCATTTATATTTTACACAAATGGAATCACACTGTACATAGTCATCCTGTGACTTGTTTCTCTACCTGTTTCCGGCTCTTGAGTTCAATTCGCGGATATGAGATGGTCTTCGCTTTGACGGGGGCTGCATCATGCTGCCGGCTCTTATGGGGAGCACACTAGTCCCTCGCTGGTCTGGAGGCACCCTCGGAAGCCCCTCTCTCTAACCCTCTTCTCCCGTGTCTCCTCCCCCCACCCCCGCTCTCCTTCCTCCCACCTCCCACCTTTCTCTCACCCTGGCACTTAGCCCCCACACAAGCCCCCTGTGAGAAGGTCCTAAGTCACCAGATGCCCTTAAAAGGTGCATCTCCGGAGTTTGGGGCTCCCCGTGCCCCCTGGTGGCTTCTCTGAGTAACTGCAGCGGGCCTCCAGCCCCTAGTCCATCAACCCCATCGGGAAGCGCTGCCCGCCCACCACCTAGGTGTGGACCTCCCCGTGCCTGCCCTGGGAGCGGGGCTCGGATTAGCTGATCTCTGCCCTGGAAACTCTCCCGGTGGAATGTGAGCGCCTTCTGACCTGCCTGCAGAATCCACGTGTCTGAGAGGTCCCAGAGGAGCGCTTCATGGGGAACCCATGATCCCACAGGTATTCTGCACGTGGACAAAAACAGATCGCCAGGGTGTTTGCTGCAGCACTGTTCTCGATGGCAAGTGACACGCGCCCAGCCGTGGCGGCGGCTAAATTCAGCCCCGTGCTTTCCGACAATGGGACACCTCTAGGTCCTGCCCTCCCCGGCCTGGGACTCTGCCCGCCTTGGAACAGCTCTGCCGGCTCCCCCCACTCTGCAGCCTGCCCCCACTCGGTCCTCTCCCACTCCAGGTCCCCCTCACCCTGAACTCTTTTTTTGCTACAGAGCATGTCTTCTAACATACTAAATCATTTCCTTATTTGTTACGTTTATTGTGCATCTCGCTCCACCAGAATGTCAGCTCTCCAAGGACAGGCACTTGGTCTATTTTAATTTTATATTCCAGGCACCTCGCACAGGGCCCAGCATACAGCTGACAGTTAATAAAAGTTTGTTAAATGAATGAAGCCAGTGAACGAAGGTCTCCATGTGCAGAATGTAGCAAGATCTCTAAGAGATGTTAAGTGGAAAAGCAAGCTTCAGACCACCGTGGATGGGGTGCTTCCCTGTGTAAAGAATGTGGGTGGGATGTTTTCCTGTACACCTAAAACTGCTAAAAAATAATAAATAAAGCCTATTAATTAAACAGCAAGAAAGGCTATAAAAACATCTGGAGATAACAAGGAAGGGGAGAAGATCTGGGCTCGGGTTCGTTCATTCATGAATGCAACAAACATTTATTAAGCTTCTGATATATACTGGTTATATTAGATATCAGGAAGTTTCTTTGGAGGAAGCGGCATTGAGATTGGCTTTGAAATGTAGATAGGATTGTACCAGAGAGAGGTGGGGCAGAAAGGATATTCTAACGGAAGAATCGATATGGGAATTTTGGTTTCTGGTTGTAAGGAGCAAAAGCTCCTTATAAGAGCAAGTGATAAAGCTGTCAAGGTTTATCGGTCTCAGCTGAGAAAGCACAGAAATGGGAGGCTTAGGTATTTTTCTTAATTTGGTGAGCAACGGGGGAGTCTTTGACGATTAATAATAAAGATATGTTTTTAAGTTAAAAATAACATGAGAGGCACCTGGGAGATGGCCAGCAGTGAGACCACAATGCAGGGATGTGGGTCCCACCTAAGGCAGAACTTCCTGTTGGAGTAGGGAGGGGACATCTCAGGGAGGGAGGGGTTTGGCCCAGAAGCCGCCTCCGTGCTGGCGTCCTGGGGCAGGATTATCGTTCCAGGCTCCCTCAGGGGACTCGGGCAAATTTGCACCCAAAGTGTTTGGTACCAGCACTTCCCGAGCCCCTGCCAGCTGAGCGAGGGGTGCAGGGTCTGCTCACCTCTTGTCCCAAGCGTCTGCCTGCAGAGTGACTGCTTTCAAGTAAATGAATGTCTCAGAGAACAACGCAAAACACAGGCCAGAGTTACTCATAGAAGTCGCCGCGCCGTGAGGGTTGACTCGGTGCCAGGCCCAGTGCGACACACGTTACTCTACGTGTGTGCCAGTTTGAGTCTGGGTTCGAATCCTGACCCTGCATTTACCAGCTACAGCTCCTTGAGTGCGTCACTTAACCACTTTGAGCCTCAGTTTCCCCATCTGTAAAATGGGGTGGTAATAGTGTCTCCCCAAAAGACTGTGGTGAAGATTGAGCATTGATGCCTGTCAAGCTGTGCCTGGCAGAGTCAGCGCAGGCACATTGGCTGTTATGACTTCTGCCGGATGAGGAAGGCACTGTTATTACCCCCACTTTCCAAGGGACTTGCGTAAGCCCCGGAGTTGAATCAGGAGTTCTGCCCTTGTTCCTGTGGGAGAGGAATGGTGGTGGCCCCAGGGTGAGGCCAGAGCCAGCTGCCCGGGTGGATCTTTTGCCTGGGGTCAATCGTCGTAAAACCTGGATGGCAGTAATCCTCCGTAATGGGAGCCCTTTATTGTTACTGTTGCATCATCAGGATCATCAGGATTGGACTGGGGGCAGATTCCAGGCACACAGTAGGCTCTTAGTGACACTGGGAGCCCCGCCCACCTTCCCCCTGCCTTCCCCCCTCGGGGCGGGGACAGGTCAATACCAACCCGGCTGCCTCGGCCACACCCCTGCAGAGCCGCCCGGGAACTGGAGCAGCAGGTAAGCGCGCAGAGCCGGGCGGCTCAGGGACCAGGGCCGGGCGCTCCCGGGCACCGGCGGGACACAGCGGGGGGCCTGTGGCCTTTCCCCTAGTTTCAGGAGGCTGGGTCCGGAGGCCGGGGGGATGGGAGGGAAGAAGGGCCTCCTCCTCAGCTGGCCGGCCGGTCAGGTTGGAGCTGGGACACCCTGAGCCGGCTGGGGGGACTCCAGACCCCTCCTCCCCAGGCCAAAAGCCCCCCCCACTGACCTGTGCCCCCAGCTGCATCGCCGCACCACTGGGACGTGTAGACGGCGGCTCCTGCTGGGTGGGGGCCGGAGCCTCACCCGCCTGGCACGGGGGCTGGGGGTTGGGACGGGCGCTGAGGGGAGGGGAACCCAGCCAAGGTCAGCCCGTGGGAGGCCGGAAGCCCTTCCAGGCCTCGGGAGGGAGAAGGAGGAAGGGAACTCACAGTCCCCGCTGGCCGGCCTGGCTCCGTTATCTCCTTGCTTCCTCTCTGGCAGCCAAGCCCAACAAGCCTGGGCATCCTCAGAGCCTTTGAAGAAACCAGGCCCAGAGAGGGTGAGCAGCGGGCCTGAGGACGCACAGCCAGTGAGCACAGGCCTGGATGGCCAGGGGTGGACAGGGTGTGGGGCGAGCACCGCCTCCTCTCTGGGCCTCAGTTTCCCCACATCTGTGAGATGGGAGCGTTGCATGGGGATGAGGTCGGGGGGAACCTGGAGAGGTGGAGGAGGCCACTTGATACACATGGATGTGAGCCGCGAGGGCGGTGGCTGAGCCGGCCCGGCTGCCAGCACACCCAGCTGCTCCTCTGCCCCAGCCGGTCCTCGCCTCAGCTCCTGCTCTTGTCCCGCCTCTGTCTCCCTGTCTTCCTGCCCATTTCTGCGTCTCCGTCTTTCCATCTCTCCTAGGAGTTTTGGTCCTGAGCCTCTCCGTCTCTCTGCCATCCTGCGCCTGCCTATGTCCCCACCACGCTAACCTTGTTAGGGTGGGCCAGGTCCCAGCCCAAGGCGAGGGCCTGCAGCACTGCCCAAGGACTCTGGGCCAAGTTCTCCGGGAGCCTGGACCTGGGACCACAGAGCCTCAGACCCTTGTCCAGGAGCGGGGTGTGGCCAGTGCCCAAGCTGCCCGCTGGCTGCCGGGACCACCCTGGCCGACTCAACCCACATGGCTGAAGCAGGCTCGGTGGTGGCCCAGCTCTGGCAAACCAGATAGCCACCTGGACGCTGGGAGAGAGGACAGGGCCCTGCGCTCAAGGAGCTCATATTCCAGGGGGAGGGCCCAGCCCTCAACAGATAAACATCTGTAACAGCGCTGATGCCCGGTAACACCAGGGAGGAAGAAAGCCGAGAGCAGGAGAGGGTGACGAGCAGGAGAGGGGGCGGGGGGCGGGGGGCGCGGGGAGGCTGCTAGGGTTCTGAGGGTCCAGGTCGGACAGGGCCCTTCCTGCCTGCTGGAGGAGGAGATGGCCCAGCCCCACGCTGAGGGCGCACAGGCCCTGGGGGCCATTACACTCCCACTCCCCTCCCTCCCTTGGGCCTGGGCTCTCAGCTTTTGATGCAAGAATGCAAAGCAAAGAGCCGCCTTTGCCTGGGGCCGTTTTGGCTTCTCTGTCTGTTTGCCCACCTGTTGTGGGAGCGTCTCAAGTGTCTCTTAGGTTTCCAGTCTCCCACAGTCGCTGAAGGGGCCCCGGGAAGCAGAGATGTCTTAGAGCCTCTCTCAGGTTCTCTCTGGCCTGTACTCCACCTCTCCCCTTCCAGCCCACGTGCTGGGTCGAGTGGAGAGGGGTCCTGCTCAGCTTGGCCTCTGCAGCCTCTTCATGACCCCCTCAACCCCAGGGCCTTGCTCAGGCTTGTTAGAGGGCTGATTCCACAGTCAGGACATGCCTGGGCTCTAATCTCAGCTCCCAGATGACCAGCTGTATGACCTCAGGCAAATTGCTTTCCCTCTCTGAGCCTCAGTTACCTCATCTGTAAAATGGAGATAATCATAATGCCTATGGCAGGATTGTTGATGGGGTTTGATGGATAATGTGTGTAAAGTGCTTAGCACACAGCCTGGCGAGATAAGCAGCCCTAAATGGTGGCAGTTGTGTTATTATTATTATCCTTTTTGCCTGGATTAGTACACCAGCTTCCTAGCGGATTAAGGAGTTTCACTCCATCTTCTGCCCTGGCCCCACATTATTCTCCTTACAACAGCCAGCGTGATTCTGTTAAAAACTAAATTAGAGCTGCTCCCACCTCTGCCCAGCAATGGGGATTTGGGCTCAGAGAAAACACCCCACTCTGGCCTACAGGGCCCCACGTGACCTGCCAACTCCTCCCCACATGACCTGTGACCTGGGGCAGCCACGCTGGCCTTCTGCCTGTTTTTCCAACACCAAGACCTGTTCCTGGGACATGGCAGGGGAGGCCCCACCCCAGGGCCTTTGCACTTGCTGTTGCCCCTGGGCTCCTCTTTCCCCTGCCATGGCTCATTCACACCCTTCCCTGAGGCCCCTCTGACAACCCCATTTACAACTGCACACACCCTCCCCGACTGCCCGCTCCTCCCAGCTGTGTTTCCCTCCACAGCCCTTATCACCAGCTGACTTGCTCTATATTTCTATTTTTATTTTGCTTAGTGACTGCTTCCCACATTTGCCCAAGAGCAGAGATTGTCGTCCAGCACACAGTAAGTGCCCAAAAAACGCTCAGAGTGTGTCGGGGATATTTTTTTAATTGCCTGTCTCTCTTCTATTTTCTCTACAGTGAGCTTGCTGTAGTTGTGCATTCATTTAGCTGATGTTTCCTGCACACTTGCCATGGCTGCCTGGGAGCAGGCAGGGCAGGGGAGCCATAGAGGAGACGGGTCGTGCTGGGCTATACCACCATCGTGACTGTTCCCAGTTAAGGAAACAGACTCGCAGAGCCGAATTACACAGCTGGGTGGCCTGGATCAGAACCAGAGAGCCCGGCTCTGTGGGGCGTGGCGATTCAGGCTGTCAGTGCCCGGGAGCCACTGCACGTCAGGGCAATTCAGGCTCCTTACCTGCCCTGTCTGCCCTCCTCTCCCCATTGAGCCCCCTGCTCCAGCCGCCCTGGCCCAGGCTCATTCCCGCCCCAGCGCCTATGCCAACTCTGCCTATACGTTCTTTGGCTATTTTTACTACTTTTTTAATTTAAAAAAAATTTAAACATTTGATCCAACTGGAATTCATTGGGTTGGGGGGAGGAGTAAGAAGTAAGACAGAGATCCGGTTTTATTTGTTTGTCCCAAATTACTACTCAATAGCAAGTCTTATTTTCTCACTGGTTCTACGCAGGAAAACTACACATTTGTAAATGTGTAACTGGCTGCCTTGCTGAACTCTCTCGTTAGCTTAATAGCTTCTCAGATGATAAAGGCAACCATCTTGTGTGAATTCGCCGCCTTCCTTTAATGATTCACTTATCCCTCTCTATTAGGCATGTCATTTATCGCCTCCCCTATCTCCTGCTGAGGCTGGGGCAGTGAGTCAGCTCCCACCATGAACTGTGCTCCCGTTGGATTCTCCCGGCGTGTCCGAGCTTTGGGGAACGTTATTCATAAGCTAGCTCGTCACTAGTCACCGCTGGTTTGACTCTATCATGAATTACAGTATTTACCAATATGCAGTGACTCTGGCTCTCAATTGATACTTTTGGCATCAAATTCCACAGTAAGAGCTCTTTGCTTCTCTATCCCTCTCTCTGTGTTTCTCCGGAAGACCTTTGCCCTAAGTTTACTCTTAACCTTTTGGTGTCTCTTTAAGATATGTCTCAACAACTAATTTTGTTTGATTTTGGTTTTTGATCAAGTCCTAGTTGGGGCAGTACCTGAGTTTCTGAGTCAGGGCATTAACAGTAAAGGTGATAAATATACTCATTACTATAATTGGTCAATATATACCCTTGAACATCTATCTCTGTACACTTAGCCAATGTTTCACTGTATATAAAATGAGTGTCTTAAGTTTATTTACCTATTTACTTATTTACAACTTAAATAACAAGGTTAAACAAACAAAGTAGTTCAGTGGCAGGCAGAACAGAGCTGGTATGGCAGCTCTGTGCCACAAAGTCCCGAGGAGGTCTAGTCTCCATCTAGCCCCCACAGCTTCCCCCATAGTGCAAAATGGCTGCTGGAGTTCTGGCCATCACATCTAAGTTCCAGACAGCAGGATGGAGGAAGAGCAGAAGGGCACACTCCCTTATCTTTAAGGAAACTTCTCAAAGTCCCTCACAACCTTATTGGCCTGGACTTGGTGGGATGGCCATGCCCACCCAAAAATCTGGTCTCTGTAACAACTAAGGAAGAGGGGAAGAGTGGCTAACTGGAAGCCGCTAGCAGCCTGGGCCTTAGAATACCATACAACACTCTACCTTTTTTCCCTTCCATATTGTTTCAGCAGTCAGAGGCAGCACTCTGCCTGAGTTGACCTAGGGCGGCTTTTTTTCAGTGGGATTCTGCCTGGTTTGTACCAGATTCTGGCCTCAGGCGGGGGTGGGCAGCTGAGAAGCTGCATGGCCCTCCGGGCTTTTGAAAAAGGTCCTCTCCCTCCTCTCCATCGGTCCTCCAGAGAGGGCCTGCCCCGTTTTGCCGCCACTGAGTTCCATGCTTTGGCCACGGGAGGGTGGGAAACCCCGCCTCCCCATGCAGCCCAGCCACGGCCCCCTCCTCTCCACCCCTAACCCGCTTCTGCCTTGGCCCCGGGGCTGCACCTGGAGTCTGCAGCCCACACCCCTCTTCCTCACGCTTTTCTCTGGGGACAGCCCCTGTGGCTTGTCTGCTCGCGTCCTGGCAGCGCTGGGCACAAAGTCGGTGCTTAATTCCTTGTTGACTGATTAGGAGGAAGTGAGGACGGAATTTTGGCATTGGGAGTTCTCTGTGTTGTGGTATCCAGGAGCGTGTGCAGGGTGCCTACGTGTTTTCACACGCAACTGAAACGTTTGCTGAAATGGCCATCGTGACAGTTAAGGTTTACTGAGTACTTACCGTGTCTCACGCACCATTCTCGCATTTTGCAAGTTCGTGGTCATGACGATCCTGATGTTGGTGCCGGGAGCCTCCACATTTTGCGGGAGAGGCATCAGGTACAGGAGGCTGTCACTTGCTCAGCTCGGAAGGGTTGAAGCTGGGATTTGAACCCAGGCCTCTTGCTCCAGATGCTTCCACAGGAGAGACTAGTAAGGTGGCTGGAGGCTGGGATGGAGAGAGAGGCCCAAGACTGGATTCCAGCCCCCACTTTGCCCCAACCAGTGAGGAATCCTGGGCAAGCCACATCTCCCTCTCAGAAATAAGGGCCAGGCTTGATCAGGGGTTGTAGCAGTGCCTGTGGGCCTGGCGGGGTGCAGGCAGGGACCCTAAGTCAAAGAGGGGGGCCGAGAGCGATTGTTGCCATGTGGGCACGCGGACCTGGTGCAGTCTTCCAGAACACTCCCGAGAAAACAGAAATCCCGAGTTTTGTTTGCCACCTCCTGACCTGCGGATTTCAGTGACTAATTGTTTAAGACACGCGGCGAACCAAAATAACACATCCGCTGCCTGTCTTGGCAAATGAGTTACCGGTTTACAAATCCTGAGCTGGGCCACCTGAAAAGGCTCTTCTGCCTTCAAAATGCCAGATTCCAAAGCAGCCCTCTGCTCTCTAAGAGCTTCCGTGTCCCCGGAAATGTGTCTGCATACACCCAGATACAGACACCAGGAAACCTCACATGAAGGGACCCAGGGCCCAGGGCTGGGCAGCCAGAGGAGGTGTCCTGGGGAAAGGGTCCTGCAGAAAGCTGGCTGCAGACAGGAGGGGGATGGTGTCCCAGGCAAGCCGCACAGCACAGAGAAAGGCGGGAGCAGCAGGGCATGGGCCCTGGCCTCGAGCTTCTCCTCGCTCGCTCGCTGGATCCGTGGGTCCTCTTGTGCCCGGAGCCAGGCCTGTCCTGGGCTATTAGTCATGCCAGCTCGACAGGTGAGAGAATGGAGCTTAAGTGACTCACCTAAGGCCCCTGGAGGGGAGCGGCACTGAGCAGGTCGGACTGCATTCTGCTCCAGCACCTCCCGGCGAGGCAGGGACGGTGGCTCTGGGGTGGGTGGATCGATTTCTTCAGTGGAAGAAGGAGGAGGAGAGTCTGAGACTTGAGAGTCGGTTCTCTGTGGGAACCCGGGAAGGAGCCACTGGGCTGTCGGGAGTTTCCTGGGTGAGGCGCAGCCACAGGGATGCTCCTGCGTGTTCTAGAAGGAGAGAGGCAGCACTCTGTCTGTGTACCTTGATTTGGTTCACTTATCACCATGTCAGTTAAAGACTGACCGTGTGAACTGAGCAGAACCGAGGGATCAGAGGTCACCACAGGGTGGGCGGGGAGCCAGGTGCCACAGGGACCTGCTCCAAATCCCACCCCTGGCCTCAGGAGACCCCTCCACCCTCCAGACCCCACCCTGTCTCCCTTCCGTAGAAGGAGGTAATTGGCCCAATCAACATCTCTCTCCCAAATGGTGCATGTGACCACCAGTGACTTCAGGTGGCACCTCACGGGGAACTGTTTTTTTTTCCTTTTTAAATTTTAATAGTCATGTGTTAATTTTCACCTGAATTAGAAAAAAGTAACTGCGTCACCGAACCTGGCATTTCCCCATACCCTTAGTCAGTGCTTACCGTGCGCCGGGCGCAGTAGTGACAACATACACTCACTGACATATCTGCATCTCCTTGATACCATCGTTATCCTCTATTTACAGGTGGGGAAAATGAGGCACAGAGAGGCAAAGGCACTCACCAGAGGTCTCCCAGCTTCCAGGTGGCAGAGCTGGGCTGGAGCCCAGGCAGCTGGCCCCAGAGTCTCACTCCCAGCCTCTCCTATATTTTTGCTCAGACTGGGGGTGAATCAAAAACAATAGCAGCACAGGTGGTAAACACAGGTAATTGGGAAGGTGGTAAACACATGGCAGAATGTTCCGGAGGACTAGAGTTACGTGGTCTCCAAGGGCCTGTCCAGCCAGGGAGTTTTATAATTTCAGGAGAAAAATGCCAGATTGGAATTTTATGTCAGGTAACTATATTTTTATAATAGATAGTATGTCCACGTGGTTCACAGATCAAAACTATATAAAACAGCCTACACGGAGGTGTCTCAAACATTGCAGCAGTTCCTGTGTGTCCTCCAGAGCTGCTCTGTGCAAATACAAGCAAAGAGAACACATCCTTCCTCCTCTTCCCCTGTGTCCAAAAGACAGCACACCATCTACCCACCTAGATTTTGTTCACTTATCAACAGAGCCTCGAGACCTGTCCCTACACCAGAGGGCTCTCCTGCAGCCTCAGTGCTTCTCACAGGTGCGTGGAATTCCAACAGCTAGACATCCCTGTCATCAGCCCGTCCTCTATTGATAGGCGTTTGGGTCGTTTCCCAAATTTTGCTACTACCAACAAGGCCACAAGTAATGATAACCTCGTACGTACATCATTTTGTGCAGGGCAGGTAACCTTTGGCTTTGGGACCATCTCACGGTGAGAAATGGTCCCTTGGAGTGGTTGTCAATTGACATTCCCCAAGGTGAATGAAAGTGATAATCTTTTCATATGTTTAAGGCTTATTTGTACTTTTTTCTCTTACTGTTCATATCCTTTGCCCACTTCTCTATTGGGTCTTTCTGTTCTTAATTGATTTACATTGCAAATATTTTCCCCCCGGGTTGTCATGTCTTTTGATCTTGCTGTTGGCATTTTTTGCAGAAAGTGTTTTGTTTGTTTATTTGTTTGCTTTCGTGCATTTTAATATTTATGCAGTTGAATGTGTCAAACTTTTCTTTTGTGGTCTCTGGACTTATGAGTCATGGTTAAGGAAGCCTTCCCCACTGGAAGTTTAGTTATAAGGAATTTGTCCGTGTTCTCTGCTAATAAAAAGCCAACCTGTTCACGGGGAGGGGAATGATGAGAGAATACTCTGGGCCCAGAAGCACCATCTTCCGTTAGACAGTGAACCCGACGCTGCTCACCTGGTGTTTTCCTCTGTCGACCCCCATGCAGGCTGATCTGGGGAGGCAGCAGCCTCCTCCGGCTCAGGGCTGACACCAGCATGGCTCTCCTCATGCACCTGCTGGTCTGCACCTTCGGGCTGGGCTCCTGGGTGGCCATCAACGGGCTCTGGGTAGAGCTGCCCCTACTGGTGATGGAGCTGCCCGAGGGCTGGTTCCTGCCCTCCTACCTCACGGTGGTCATCCAGCTGGCCAACGTCGGCCCCCTCCTGGTCACCCTGCTCCATCGCTTCCGGCCCGGCTGCCTTTCCGACGTGCCTGTCGTTTTCACCGTGGTGGCTGTGGGCACTGTCACCTGCATCCTCCTGGCTTTCCTCTGGAACGTCACCTCCAGGGTGCAGGGCAACTACTACAGCATCGCCTTTGTCATCCTCACCTTCTTCCTGGCCCTGGTGGACTGCACCTCCTCCGTCACCTTCCTGCCCTTCATGAGCCGGCTGCCCCCCCGCTACCTCACCACCTTCTTTGTGGGCGAAGGACTCAGCGGCCTCCTGCCTGCCCTGGTGGCTCTCGCCCAGGGCTCGGGTCTCACCACCTGCGTCAACGTCACTGAGACATCAGACACCACCCTACGCCCGCAGACCACCGGGAACACCGACACCACACAGGTACCTGCCCTCCCCAGCTCCACTGCAGTGCTCCGTGCTGGCTCACAGCGAGGTGGTGCGGAAGGCTTGCTTCCTAGGTGTCGGGTAGACCAGTGTTCTTGACCCAGTGCACTTGAGCTCTCCTGGGGGAGCTACCGAAACACACCAGAGGCCCCCCCCACATATCCAGACCAATTAAACAAACTCTGAGGGTGCAGCTTCTCTGAAGTCCTTGGGGTCAGATGTGTTTTGGAATCTGAAGTTTCAGATTTTAGAACCCGCCCACCCCAGTCCGGGACAGCGCCTATGACTGAGCAATCCAGCCCAGCGACACGGCTGCCCCAAACCCCAGGGGCAGTCACGCCCAGTGGGCAGGTTAGGGCTCTGAACAGACTCCCATCGGTTCAGGGGTTGCTGCCAACTAAGTCATGAAAACATTCTGACTCTCAGAGCTTTTTGGATTTCAGAATTGCAGATAAGGGATCGTGAACTTGTATTTGTTAAAAATTCCCCAGGTGATGCTAACGTACAGCTAGGGCTGGGAATTATAGACATTAGACATTGCACCGATACCTTGTGTTGTTAAAACATCAAACATTTTTTCCGCTGGATATTGGACCATTTCTGTACATCTGTTATTATAGAAACTGCAGTACTGCAGCTGTTGCAAACCAAGGGCTCCAGGCCACCCTGGCCTGCAAGCATTTTTTTAAAGTATTTGAATTAGTTGATGACACTTAATTTTTCTGACATTTCACATCTATAAATCTAGATGTATGGCATCTCTTGAAAAGAGATCTGGCCACACGAGGCCATGTCACCACAGGGTGACTTTGGGCGGGGCTGAGAAGCAGGGGCCCTTAGGTGAGGGGCTCTCCCCGTCGGTGGTCTCCAGCCAGCCCCTCCTCTGAACATATCTGTGGCTGCCAGCCCCGGAGGGCAGTAGAGTGGAAAAAGGCTTAGCTTCTGAGTCCGAAGGAACCACGTGGACTGGCTTCCCCACGTACTCCCTGTGACGCTCAAGTAAGACAAGCTATTCTGACACCTCTGTTCCCTCTAAAATGGGGACCATGGTCTCCCCTGCACAGGGCTGTCAGGAGGAACAACGAGCTGATACACACCAAGTGCTGGGCTCAGGAGGCAATCAGTGGATGTGAGCAATTCTCATCATGACTCTAGTAGTTACGTGTGTATTATTCATGACTTATTAATAATGCATGCTATTTCTTACTTATTATATATTATCATTGTTAATGTTGTTGTTACCTGTGTCCCAACAGGACCCAGGGATCCGACTCACCCTTATTTTGTCTCTCCCCAGGGAGCGAGCATTTTTGTGTCCGCCCTCACGGGGACGGCGCCCTCCGTGGCCCATCTGCAAACCCGCTACCTCCCCGCCAACTTTTCGCCCCTGGTCTTCTTCCTCCTGCTCTCCTTCATGATGGCCTGCTGCCTCCTTGCGTTCTTTCTCCTCCAGCGTCAGCCCAGGCACTGGGAAGCCTCCAGAGAAGACATCCTCTCCTCCCAGGTCACCCTCCACTCCATCCGACCGCAGGAGGAGAAGGAGCTGGGGCCCCCGGGCCTGGTGGACAGCGGCAAGGGCCAGGGGCAGCTGGAGGAGAAAACGGCGGCCCGCCCCCCGACGCACCTGGCCCTCATCTACGTCCTGGTGGCCTTTGTGAATGCGCTGACCAACGGCGTTCTGCCCTCCGTGCAAAGCTACTCCTGCCTCTCCTACGGGCCGGTTGCCTACCACCTGTCGGCCACGCTCAGCTCCATGGCCAACCCTCTCGCCTGCTTCCTCTCCATGTTCCTGCCTAACAGGTCCGCCCCCGTCTGGCCCTGGGGAACCCTGGTGGGGGCACCCTTCATTTCAGAACCCAGAATTCCAAACCTCACCTATCAGGCTATATGTGTAGTGGTGGAGAATATGGTTTCCAGGGCTTGACTGCCTGGCTTCAAATCCCGGCTCCGCCACTTACTAGCTGTGTGATATTGGACCAGCTACTCTACATCTCTGTGCCTCAGGGATACCTATCTGGAAAATGGGATAATAGGTCTACCTCCTAGGGTTGCTGGGAGCACGAGATGAGCTAATATTGTAAAGATTTGAGAGCGATGCCTGGGGCACGGCAGGTCCAGTGTAAGCGTTGACCATCACTGCCACTGGCCGTGAGGAAGAGCAAGCACACGGGGACTGAGGTGCCCATTTACAAATAGAAACCGTGAGTCTCAGAGAAAGGGCTTCCCCTGGTCTAATTCCCAGGATTTCAGCCCTGCCCTCCTGCCTCCAGCCCACACTGGCTCCCTTACAGCTGCAGTTCTAGAAGAATGGCTGGGCAAATTGATAAAATGCAGATTGAGCCAGCCTAGATTGGGACCTGGGATTTCACGTTTTAATAAACAACCTAACTGGTTCTGATGCACGGGCTTCAGACCCCAGGAGGAGAAACACCCACCTTGGGGTCATGAAACTTCAGGTCCCACAGCCTCCCGTCCACCCCTCTGCCCTGCCTGTCCTCACTGGCCTCTCAGACCTGCTCACACCCTCTCCCCCAGCCCTGCCCACCCCCACCTGCTCACACCCCCCTCCCCCAGCCCAGGATGAAGGGAGAATGAGCACAGGAGAGTTAGACAGAAAATATCAGTTTGCCAGAAAGCTGAATTTTCTCCCTTGAGGCTTAAAAACTGTGGAGGAAGGATAGAGATTTCTGGGGAAGCAGGACCAGAGGCTACAGACCTGCGGAATCCAAGATGCCAGAATGTTAGAAATACAGAACCTGAGAGTCAGGGAACCCAAGAATCTCAGAGCAAAAAGAGTCCTTAGAGGCCAGGGCAGACCCTCCACTCTGACCCAGGGCCAGTCTTGGTGTCCTCAAGAGTGTGGACAGGGAGACCCCAGGGACAAAGACCTCACTGAAGGCTGGTGTCCTCAACTGTCAGACCTAGGGCCGAATGGAAGGCCACCAGTGGCGTGCGTCCGAGCCAGCCCCCAGGGCCCTGGATTGTGCAAACCTCACGTTGTAGACAGGGTGGCTGAGGCCGGAGGTGGCACAGAATGGTGCCCCTGTGGCCACACAGGTGGCCCTGCAGGGCCAGTGCGGGATCACAGCCACCTTCTCGCCTCGTCAGCCCAGCTTCCTGCCTGAGGTTAGGAGTGTTGCAGGAGGAAATGGCAGCAGATGAAATACCAGGCAGGGCCCGGGGCCAGGCCCTACACACTCTGCTCCCACAGGTTCCCAGAGCTCTGCAAGGCTCATTTCGCAGGTGAGGAAACTGAGGCTCAGGGACCAGTCTCGCAGCTTAAATGCTGGAACTGGGATTTGAACCAGGTCCACAGAGCACCAGAATCCGTTCTGTTTCTCCTGCTGAGATGCTGGCTCTGCCATTAATGCTCAGGGTGACTCAGGCCCGCCTTGCCCCTCAGGAGCCTCGCTGACCCACTTGAACCAGGTGGCCTGGAAGTTTCCACATGGGTCTAACCTCTAACCCTGGAGACGCTGACCATTCCATGTGGCCTCTGGAGGTGGAGTTGGGGGGCAGAGGTCAGGCTTCTCACCTCCATTCACCTCTCGCACTCTGCCCTAGGTCTCTGCCATTCCTGGGGGTCCTCGCGATGCTCGGGACTGGATTTGGGGCCTACAACATGGCCATGGCCGTGATGAGCCCCTGCCCCCTCTTGCAGGGCCACTGGGGTGGGGAACTCCTCATCGTAAGTATCCTGCCTGTGGAGCTGCTCCCCATCCCACCCCCCATCCCACCCC